ATCTTTCTTGGGTGTCTAATGTTTGAATTCGGTGACTTGTATACTTTACCTTCCATGCGCAAACGTTAATTTATATTTCTATCCCAGTTCTCAGTATTGGCTCTACCTCGCTTTGCTCTCGTCTTTGTTACAACGACCTCTTCGTGATCTAAAATATGATTTTCAACAACTGTATCGTCGCCATTATCAACTGAAGCTAAAGTGTCAACCGGATCTAAAATTGGTATTTGGATACTGTGAACCGTGTTCTCTCGTAATAAATCTTTGTTTTGGTTGTTTTCAGTTACTGTGTTCTCTTGTGCTATGGTATCATGTATATCAAGTGGTGAATTTGTTTTTTGTGAAATATTATCGACATCAACTACATTCTGGTTGGCAATAACATTTGCAAACGGTGTGAGATGGGCATTTGTGTTGGTACGCTTTATTTTTCTAAAATGTTGTAATATTTGATCGTCATCGTCCGTGCTGAGATCAGCCTTCCTGAGATCATGATTCAATTGATTCTTGAAAAGAGTCAGAAGAAGTTTCATCACTATCATTGTTGGCGTTGCAACTAGATGTGTTTCTTGGTCTACAAAACATTTCATCCACTGTTGGACTATTAGCATTGGTTCTGATGGAATTAGCATCAACAGTAGCATCAACTGTAGCACCAACAGTAGCATCGACCCGTTCAACAGTATCTACAGGAGATGATGTAGATGATGAACTCGACACTAGTGAGAGCTGTAGAATCCGTTTCCCTCGCGAAAGTGTAGATTCTGTAGCCATACCTTATTAAATCTGAAATAACATGTTCAAACTTAAATTCTAATTTATATAACGTAACTTTCCCATAACCAATGATTACAATAAAATCAACAGAGATTGCTGCCATGAACATAATTTCAAATTCGGAAATACACACTGCAAAATGTCGTATCTCTTTTAAAGAAAATAACACCTGTTAAAGTAACTGTAGGGCTTTAAATTGACAAAATTATGGTATTTTCATTCATGAATTATAGCAGAATGGGTGTATAAATGATATAAAATACCAGTTTTTATAAATTTATGCCATGAAACTGAGTTTCAAAAATGTCATAACCTAGCCTAACAAATAAGTGATAATTGACGTTTAAGAGCATTTTAGGTTCATAGCCATGAATAAAAATCTAACGCAAACAAATACGCAAGGCTTACTTACCTGATTATAATAATTAAAAAGCTTCTTGGAAGATTTCTGCTTACATGCAGACTTTTTTTCGAGATACGATATATTACACTTCAAAATTTTCTCCAATCCATATAAGACAATTTGACACATGATCATATAACGATTTTTAATTGGAGTAGAGTTACGGCTACCAGATGAAAAGACGCGCCAAACGATGAGGAAATCAAAAATACAAAAAGTCATTTTTAGTCAAATCCCGAGTTACGACTTTTTAAAACTTCACCGACGATATGAAAGGGAGAGCGTCTCTACTCTAAATTTAAACTTCCAGAATATTCAATCGCATATATAAGATAAGCACAGCAAATTAGAAGCATACTATATTTCATGTAACGGATGACACCACATGCATGATATATAGGGTTGTGAATAATGATATCATGTTGCTGGTAAAATTGTAACATATCAGATTCTAGATATGGAGATGCTTGATATTGACTGTGATATAATTGTGTCTTTAAGACATATTTATACATGGAATTACTATTTACATTGGACAAGATACAATCATTGTAATTACCATAGTATTCATGAAGACAGACTTGTTATTTACACATATATACAGACTTCATATCACCTCGTTTTCATCTTCCTCATTCCAAATACCGCAGAAAAAGGTATTGACTTGGATCCACATAAAAAATTACAAAAAAATAGAATGCATACTGAATGAAATACACCAAGCTGGAGGTAATCCATTTCAAATTAAAAAAATCGAGTGCCATTACTGATGGGAAATACGATCACGGCTCAGAACACTGACTCACCAGCATGCCATTACTTACCTAGATACCCGCCTGCCTGTTACTATACCGCGTTTTATCAAATTCTGACAATTCATCTGATTAATTTTTAGTATTCAGAAAATGATATTTTTTTTTATAACAGTTCAGTTGGCACTCCTCTATGTGCTAGAAATAAGTTTTACTTCTACAGTCAGAAGTAAGCTTTCCAGTAATTAAGATGATGCTGTGTGAATTCTTAATCTCACAAGATAATGAAATAGAATATCTGTATTCAGCATTAGGTAACATTCAATTTCAGATTAATTTAGGTTAGTTTACTTTTTCATCTCAGAGAGTCTGCTGTTAACAGTATTTATAAACCAATTTGCATGGAAATTGATGGAGAAGTAAGAAACATTCTGTCGAATCTCAATTTTAGATTACATTGCTACAGTACCTCAAGAGTAAGGCGAACCACAATATTTTAAAAATGTTTATGTCAGATTAAAAGTTGTACAGATAACTTCAGGTTTCTGTAGTATGTTATATTATGTTAAAGAATCAATTTAAAAGACTTAAACTCACCACTTGCAGCCCTATCAATCCTGCAAAGACACACTCAAATCTCGAATTGTCGAGATAAAAACCCTTCAAAGTCTACGAAAAGCATCAAATCAGATTGAATATTGTTTGACACTATGGTTGGCTTATGTATAATTTTAGAGTTTCTGTTCAAAAGGACTTAAAGAGTTGTGATCCCTTAATTTTTTTTATTCTATCAAATTCAACTTTGGTTATTTTTACAATTACAATTGAGTTTCTGACCAAAGATACATTTAATTAAGACAAGCCATCGAGCGCCAATTTGCAGTCGACAAGAAAAATGATACATTTGGATACTGCTAATCGAGTTTTGTAAAAGTGAGCGTGTCAATCCTTGCTCATTTTGGAACTTTTGCTCATATCGACATTCGAACAAGAACTGGCGGAGTTTAAATACACATTTCTATATACTAAAGGTGCAGACACACGAGCGATCTTTGTCGGAGATTTTTGTCGCCGATAAGAGTCATGAGAAAACTCTCGCGTGTGCCCGTGCTTCCACTACAAGATTATCACGTCCCCCGATTTATAATATCAAACAGGTAGTTTTATCGTTTGTAAGACAGACAGTCATCATCCAATCAGATTCGTTTTGCTTTCAATTGCATGCACCGACTGGAAATTCTCCTACCAAGACCTCTCGTGTGTCCGCACCTTCACTTTACTTAACTCCTGAATTGGAACATGTATGATTTCTATAAAACACATTTATCATATGTATGATTTACAGAATTAGAAGCTATATAGACCAGGAATATAATATAACTGTAATGAAATTGGCCTTTTAAGTTAAAAAAAATGGCAAATTGAATCACCATAGGATTAAATCAAATTGATAACATGAGACGCCATTGATCTCTACAGGACTTCTCTACATTGTTCATTAGAAGAATCATAAGAATTTTGATGTTAAACAATAGTAATTAAATAAAATTATTTTACTTATCTGAAGACAATGTGGAGTCACTGTAATACCCTGGTTTATTTCTCCATTTCCTTTCATTTATATACCAAGACCGATGACTACTCTAAATTATACTCTATTGGTCTACTCATCGAACATTGTAAGATTTCGGTGAAGCGACAAGAGAGATGGTTTTATGGCATATTGTGCAATCCAATGAGATGTAATTTGTACCTAATATTGATATAAATGATATTTTTTTGAAATATCGTTACAATGTGATAGATTAGGTTAAGACTCCCTTTTCAAAGAACTGCGACGATTGTTCCACGAATGATCGATTCAAACCGATCATTGGTCGTGACAATCATGCAACCAACCCTTTCATCGGCCATTTTGCTCTTCTGCTTCTATTTTCAAAAATTGACTTCAATGGCGATATCTAAAATGTACCGCCATGCAATTGACCTGAGCAATAAATTTGTCCTCTTAAAATGGTAAGCTGTAATGTGTCACATTGGCACATATCAGGCAAAAAAGTTGCTATCTGAGAAAAAAACTTTCCGACTTTTCTATCATGTCAATTTGACTTTAATATCATTATTGAGATAATACCTCTTTTACTTACGGGGCCTCATTTCGGAACAGTGATAATTTTAAAATCTAAAACCACTGTTTATCAGTGTGCGTGTTTTTCTATGTCGGTTACATTTTTTCGCTTGGAGTTCTAGTGCTTGAGGGCATTTACTGTTTCATTTTCTGGTTCACATTGTTTTAAAATGTAAAGATTCAATCCAAGAGAATTAAGTAAATATGTGATAATCGAAATAGAAGATATTGCAGCATTTTATCAGCGTGTTTTTCACATTATCAAATACTTCTTAAGATTCTTTCATGGTTATTTTTTTCTAAGATTATTTGGAGGGTAAAAATTGAGTAAATAATGTTTAGACTGTTGATTTCATAGATATTCCCTGTTCCTACAGACAGAATCTAAGAGTTCCTTCTTTTGATAAAGATATATCAATATTCTTTCATATGAGACTATCAATCTATTGAATATAAACAAGACAATCTAGTTGTCCATCAGACATGTCTATTTTTAATCAATTTTTTCATGTTTGTTTCCATCCTTTCAAATATTGCTTATCGCCATTAGAAGACATTGTGACCAGTATAAGGAATGTAGACTTGAAAGCAACCTTATGCACTCGATGTTACTTACTTTCATATATTTCCTTAGCAGGAAGGAATTGTGAAGAATGAATAACCCAAATTATCCAAAATATAAGCTCAAATAGAATTATAAAATTAAAAGAATTTACTTTGATTCATTAGTAAACAGATTGATTGAAGATTAAAATCAGAATGTGACGTTATGTGTATGTGTCAAACGAGACAAATACTTACCCATGTAGATTGATCAGATGCGGCTGCTGGGCTTCATTCTGTGATAGTCTTGGAGTCAATTAACAATATCATACCCTATCACTGATCTAATCTTGAAGATTCTCTTTCTGATAGAATTAAGGGCATTGTTCAACATGAGATGTCTGATATGAAAGCTGATATTGATAGTGAAATTTCCGAATTAGAAACGAAGATTTTGAAACTTGAAAACGAAAAGCTTGAAAGTGATAGAACGTTAACTCATTATGTACACGAGCTAGAGACAATGAGAGCAAAATTACCGATTGAACTTGATAGCATTGTGATAAAAAATATGCCTGAACTTGCCTCAGAGAAAAACGATAATCGTGTTACAATATATCGTGTGACTAGACTTTTTAAAGAAGGCCTGAAATTGCCCAATATAAACATTATAAACGCGGATAGGAAAAAAACATCATCACATAAACCCGGTGTGATAGTTGTCCAACTCCAAGACAGTGCACACAAGAAACTAGTCTTAGAAACTAAATCAAAGTTGAACACTAATAAACAATTTGATAAAATTTATATAGAATCAAGTATGTCAACAGCTGAACTCAAAACTCAATCCAGCCTAATTACCCTAGTTAAAGAACTTGGTAAACAGGATTCATACTTTGTTAAAGGTAACAGTATCATGAAACGAAAATCTAATTCAGGAACAAGATTTTAGGGGCTACGACTATGTCATTGGAACTGTGCTGGATGGTCAGTTAAAAATGGTGATAGTGTTGTTTTTAGAGAATCTGTGATAAATGAAGGTAACTTTGATGTCTTGTTTTTATGTGAAACATTTTTACGTTTTAATGAAAAAATTGCAGTAAATGGATATAAGTGGCTTGGGAGAAACAGAGATATCACTCACAAGAAAGCGAAACGTGGGTCCGGTCATGTTGGGTTCTTAATTCGAAATAACATTTATGACGAGTACCATGTGTCTATTCTGGATGAATCCCTCGAAGATATCCTATGGATAAAACTCGCGCACAAATCAAGTGATACATATGTGTGTTTATGCGTGTGCTACCTACCCCCTAATGGATCTTCATATATGACAGACGCAGAACAGTTTTATAATAATTTGTTGAATCAGGTATATTCTTTTCAAAATGAAGGTCTTGTGTGTATCAGTGGTGATTTTAACTCTAGGGTGGGTGACCAATCTGATTATATCCTGGGTGTTGATAATTTACCCCCTAGAGCGGTTATTGACTACACGGAGAACAGTTATGGCACACTTTTTACTGATTTCTTATGTGATACTAATCTATGTATGTTGAATGGTCGCATTTCAGGTCGCAATGATTTTACATATGTTAGCACCAACGGCCGATCTGTAGTTGATTATGTTGTCGCTCCACATGAACAGGTTAGTCTGTATTCAGATTTTCAGGTTTGGAGAATGTCGGAGCTGATTTCTTATAGTAATCTCATGGTTCCTGAGAAAATACCTGACCATTCCCTCCTTGTGTTCACATTAAATATTGCAGGTGTCTCTCTTTCCGGAACGAATTCACATGACCACATCTCCGGTGCTAAACCCAAGCCAAAGCTACATGTGCCAGAAAACTTTCTCAGTGAATGTACACCACAAATTCTTGAGAAAATAAGTGCAATAGAAACAAATCTAAGGTCTGAACATGATATTAATCTTGCATATAAATCGTTTGCTGAATTCATCATTAATGAAATGTCGGCACCAATAGCGGAAGGGAAGGGTTGTAAGAAACTTACTAACAGGAAAAGGCCATACTGGAACGAAGCTTTAGAAAAACACTGGAAAATGGTACAGGCGAAGTGTAAAAGTAAGTTACGCAAGTCCCATCTACACGGTGCCTTTATCAAAGAGAGAAAAGGGTTCGACAAATCCCTTAGACAACATAAACGCCATTATTTAAACAATAAACAAAGTGAGTTACTAGAACAATTTTCTGTCCATGATAAACGAGATTTCTGGAAATCGTTTGGTAAAATCGGCATTGCAAACGATCGCAAACATGTGATTCCACTAGAAGTGACGAACTCTGAAGGTGAACTGGTAACAGACACTGCGACTGTTTAAGAACACTGGGGAGACGATTATTCCAAGTTGTATAATTGTAAACCAGAACATGGTAAATATGATGACGAACATTTAAAACGTATTCAGCAATATGTGTTTTCACCTTCTGAAATTTTGAGAAATTGTGATGACATTAATGACCCCATTTGCATTTCTGAGGTACGAAATGCGATAGATCATGCTAAACTAAGAAAAGCTACAGGGATTGAGAGGCTTCCAGCAGAGAGTCTTAAAAATCCTGTTTGCTTTGATATTTTACATAGAATCTGTAACTATTGCTTTGAGCATAACATTGTGCCTGATAAGTGGAATATGAGCATCATTAATCCTATTATGAAAACAAGCACAGATAAATATATACCCTTGTCGTATAGAGGTATTTCATTACTGTCTATTCCTTGTAAAATATATGCTGATATCCTCAATAATCGAATTAGCAAATGGTGTGAAAATAATGATGTCTTTGTAGAGGAACAAAATGGTTTCCGCAAAGACAGAAATTGTATTGATCATGTTTTTTCTCTTACTAGCATTGCTAAAAGTAGAATCAAAGCCAAACAATCCACATTTTGTTGCCTAGTGGACATGCGAGCTGCCTACGATAACGTAAATAGAGATTGCCTTTGGTTTGAATTACAGAAAGCTATAGTCTGAATGGTAAAATACTCAAAGCTGTAAAATCCTTATACAACAATGTTAAATGTTCAGTAAGATTAAACGGTCAGTATACACCTTGGCTAACTCCGGAGTCAAACAGGGTTGTGTGTTGTCACCATTGTTATTCTCTGTTTACGTTAACGATCTGGCTATAGCTGTTAATGAATTAAACTGTGGTATTGATATTGATAACTGTAATGTTGGTATTTTGTTGTATGCAGACGACATAGTTTTAATTGCACCATCAGAAGATAAATTGCAAACTATGTTAAACAAACTTAACTCATGGTGCATTAAATGGCGCATGTCTGTTAATAAGACAAAAACTAAAGTTATCCACTTTAGACCATCAACATGGCAGTTATCAAATAGAATATTTAATATTGGGAATATAAATGTTGATTACTGTAAATGTTATAAATATTTGGGAGTATGGTTAGACGAACATTTAACTTTTAAACTATGTATTAACGAATTAGCTAAGTCTGCTAGTAGGGCATTGTCAGCACTTCGTACTAAACACTTCCAGGCGGGTGGATTCCCATATAATATTTTCACCAGACTTTACGAATCGCTAGTACAGCCAATTATGTCATATGGTGCTGGAATATGGGGTATGGTAGGGCATAAAAAATTGAATAGTGTACAAAACAGAGCATGTAAGTTATTTCTGGGCCTGAAACGAAACAGTCCAAACCTGGCAGCTAGGGGCGACATGGGTTGGACTTCATGCCTTACAAAACAAACCCCACTTAATTGTCGAACCTGTCCCTTTTGTTTAGAGATTGAGACAGAAACACATTTTTTAGTAGAATGTGATATGTATTCAGATATCCATTTTGAACTATTTCAGGAAATGCATAAAACAGATAATAATTTCTATAACCTGTCCCCCAAGGAAAAAATTATCATCATCTTATCTAGTGATCTAGTCAACCCCAAAACTATAAGCAGTTATATATACGAGATGTTCTCTAGGAGAAATTATTATATGTCATATAATTATAGAACTTAATACTAAATTATACTGTCTCATAAGATTTTATTTTTATACTAATTTTATTTTGTACTGTTTTTAGATATATTAGATCGTGTCTCATAGACCTATATGGTCGGGCGATGATTAATTTATATGTATTTTTTAATGAATTCTATTTTATGTATATTACATCGTGTGACACGTTAATAAACATTTCTTCTTCTTCTTTCTCTAATCGATTAAAAATATACATTTTTGTACCATACCAGAATTTCAGCAATATATACAAATACAATGTAAGTGTATAATAGAACAATAAACAACGAGAGACAATAAGGAATCTTGTGATTGGAAAAAAGAAATGTGTTGACGTGGAGTAGTTGCGACAAGATTTCATCTAATTAATGGTCAAATCAAATCACTAGGCTGTAATAGGGTGAAGAGTTCAGGGCTGAATACTTTGTATTCATACTTGTAACTTGATTATCCCCTGGTTTCTAAACTTATCTATTTAATCATAAGGCTCTATGATATTTCTCAATCTTCACCTTGTCCATCCCTAAAAGGGACGTAGTCCTCCATTTTGACCCTTTCAGTTAAGTACCTCGTGTTAATGTGTAAGCCTTCATTGTTCATTCAATACGCCTGAAATACATATAATTTCCTTTTACAGGATATTTACACCGTAGAGTCCAATCGGGCCCGAATTTTCATTTCTTGTCTGAATAAACTAGAGTTGAGGGCAGTCAGCTGGTTAAGCTAATTTTAGAGACCACATCCCTTTAACTATCTGCTTTGACAGTATAATATGATAAATGGTAGGTATGAATTGTCAATACTAAGTAACTGCCAAACACCAATCGACCTTCTTTATATCACTTGAAAATCTTTCTGATGATTAATTCTTGTTGTAATGGCGGGGTATACGATGTATACAGTTCAATTTTTTGTATTTAAGAGTAGTTCGGATTAATTTCCTCAGTGATCTTTAATCTGAGTCAATCCGTCAGGTGCCATTAATTTTATTTCCTACATTATACAAAATGTCAGAGCGAAAATACAGCAAATCAAATGTCCTATACTTGCCCTTTTGTAGAAATTCTGTCTGCGAATACATGAGAATACTTATTTATTTATACTATATCAGATATCTCGATAAAACTAGTGCAGTCAGTTGAACATCCATTGAGTACACTACAGATAAAGTAGATTTTTACAAAGAATGATTAATCAGTCTAATAATAACTTATACTTAATTTAATACACTGTTTTATAATTAACACAAGGATGTTAGTTGTTTCCGTAACAATTACTGCACTATATCATGCAGACATATATAGGTGATAAAAAGTTGAATAATCAGTTCAATAGAGGAGGCGTTAAAAGTGTAAAATATATGTTGCCAGGTATTGTGAATCATATTAATATATTACGGCTCCCAAACGACTGAATCACACACTGTACTTAATTTTCTTTCACCTTCCTCTTTCGTGTTTTCTCTATCCTTAGGAGAAATACCCAGCAATTCCAGATCGTTTATTCCATTCTCTTAATGAAGTATTTATACATTGGAATCAAACCCTCCTTTCCCCAAAAACCATACCCATTTTTGATGCTTGGTTTAATCATTTTTTTCCGTCACACTACCAACTGATTGAATGGTTCCGTTACCAGTTAATACCATGGAATCGCTTCCTGTTCCGTTTTCTCTTCTTTACACACTGCTTACAACCACTTATTGTGCTTCATTCTGAAACTTATTGTCAATATGAATGATAATGTTTAATCTTGTACAGACCCCTGCCTCAAGTTCCCCTTATTCCACGTGGATTAAAATACCGAGAGTTGGAATTTGGATTAAGATACTAGCTCCAAGATATATTTTATAATTGTTGCGTTATTTACGATTTTCGAAATCTAGGATTAGATAATCAATAGGAGGAACTGATCAATTGGAGCTCCGTAATATTCCCCATCACGTAATTCTTGTCTATCAATTTATTCTAACAAAAACATTTTCGTCATTGGAGGGTTTTCCTGTTTTCGGGCTGAAATTACAGAAAAAGAAATTTGAGTATCTCTGAAATCGTGTAGGCGAAGTTGTCATTATCACTCTACATTTCGATTTGTATCTAAATTGGCTGCTAGCAAACGAATTATTCTCGAGTCTTTAGAAGACTTCACAAAAGATAAAGAAATTTGGTTTTATTTAATTTAATGACAATGTTTAACAGCAGGAATCTGTAAGAATGAAAGTTGTATTGAAGTATATTTCTGTTTTAACAGTTGAACTGTACTTTTAACCATGTTTTTTTTTATCTATCAGGCTCTCTCGCGATTCCACTTCTTAAACATCAAGATCCAGATCTGAAGTTTAAAAGAGAGTAGCCTTCGACTTGGTTAGAAACTGCTGAACTAAAATGAAATCAACAACAAAACCAATAACCGCTTTATTGAGTTCAATAAATTCCAAATAACAAGTTATGATGAATCTGGAGATTAGAGTGTGAATCATCTGAACCTCTCTTAACATCATTCATTAGCATACAAAGTACTTGAAGCTTTTATTAGACTTTATCACAATAAACCATACGATACTGATAAACTGTTCAATACAATGAGATGAGGTAGTTACTGTAACAATATTAAAGATACTGTATGTCAGGTAACAATATGGAATAGGCCCGTATAAATTCTATATAATTTAAATCTGTAAATATAAAACTATATTATTGTCCTGTTATTTGACGTTTCGGCTTACTGCCTTCTTCAGAAACACCCAAAATAGATCTCGATCACATCTTATTCCGTTATTTTACTAACTATTTAAAGTTTAGAATACTCAAACTGTTTGATGGTTGTCACGTCTGTAAATATACTTAATAGTTATTATTGATGTCAATTTTAATTTTGCTTGCGAAATGCGGATTGATATCTGTTGGAAAATGATATTTGCATAGGATTTGAACTGTTTTGCCCTGAGCAAATTGCTTGCATGTTTTAAAAAACAAATCGTTTCTCTGTGTGATAAAATGAAAGCATTCGAAATATCCAAGTAACTTACAGTATAATTACTAACTCATTATAGCCTAGATTGAAATATTCTTTTACTATTAACTTCTACTGACTCTCGGTGTTAAACAAGAATTTCTAACGATCAAGTATGCGATTGTAGTAACTTGTAGCAAAAACATGAAACGAATAATCTTCCTTTTAAAAAGATTGCTAAAAGTTTTTACTAAAAGGCATCATGAAGAGGTTATATATGTCACTTGAATGGGGAACTACCTGCAACTACATTTCCACCAGTTTTCATAACACGTATGTAAAACTTTAAACAAACTTTAAAATTCTGTATACAAAATAATGTGGTCAGGATCAGAAGGATTTATTGTGAAAAATCACAATATTTCAATTCAATAACTATTAGTGCACATGAAATAAACAAAATCTTTAGAATAACTTTCGGCAGGAATATTCCATTTTGTCAAAATGGATATATCATCCTTATGGAATATAGGAATTTTAAAGATTAAACCATTTTCAATTTTATATCTAACATTTAATATGGCATATTTTAGAGAATATTGCAGGTTTGAAGAGAATTCATAATCTTCTTACAGAATTTATATTTAAATGAATAATAAAACAGTAGTTTATGCTGAATTTTGATTAAATAAATCATCATTTCACAAGATCATTCTTTGTGGAAATTCTGCAAATAAATTTTTACAATGTATTTTTTCTGAAAAATGTTAACTATTTAGACGTAAATGTTCTTATAATAATTGGTACTATAAAAACATATAGGCTACATTTTGTATACAAACAAATGAAATTTATTCCAGATACTGAAACATAGTAGTTTTAAGGTAATCGATAGGGCGATGGGAAAGAAACGATGGCTCAGTGGTCAAATGTCCAAGTCAATTTACAACGTAATAAGGGAGTAATTGGATGTGAACGAAGAAGTACTGAAAGAAAACCATGTTATTAACAATAATACCATTTATATACCCAACTACAGTTGATTTCTCATTTCGAAGTCATTGGCATCTTCGGGTGAATATTTTAAATGACAGTATAAGATAGATCTTTAAGTCCAGTATATATCTACTTAAACAGACGGGGTTTCCCAGATTGTCATTTGATCACATTGGTAGTTTAAGCATTTTGAAATATAATCAAAGAAAGTATAAAAACTACTAAGATTTTAAAAGAAATGTATAATAGGGTGATCATTTAAAGGCATTAATTGCAAAAAGCTAGGCAATCACGTTCCAATGTTACAATCACGTGATAAAACAATACTCAACTCAGATAACTTAAGGATTCGTTCGATTAATGACATGGAAGGTGGGTGGAAAAACGAAGTACACGTAACAACCGAGATTTTATATAACCTATGACTGGAAAGCGAGCTGCAATGCCAGTTGCATGGGTTACAGCCCTCCAACCCCTTACAAAATGGTTGGTACAATACTTCATTTCTAACAAATCTAAAAATATATTTTTTTACCCCAAATTATATGTCAGCATGCATCAGATGCTCCTCGGGCGCAATTTGAATCTCGATCTTGACAGTTGTCCCTCAATTAAGGTAATCTGTTCCCTATTTTTCCTTGGGAGATCTTCAGGGGTTATAATGGACAATATTTAGTAACAACCTCAGTGGGCACCTTTCTAACGTCTGGCATGCTACAATTCAGGGAGTGACAATCAAAGTAAGAATCAATCTGAATTGAGATCAAACATGCTAATGAATAGTGATGTTTGGTTGGTTTCAATTTAATTCATCTTTCTAATTCAAGTTTTCTGCAGGGAATATGTTTTCTATCCAAATAACTATCAACATCGCTTCTTTGGTATTTTCTTACATAGTTTCCATCAAATACAAATATCTCGGAAAACTATATTTCTAATCTTAAGATTGTCAATGTCACCATTGCTGACAATTTCAGTACATATTTTTATTAACGACTGAGCGAAATAAGTTTGACCCATTAAAACAGAAAAATCATGGCAAGACATATTAC